TTGAGCAACTTAATGTTACTTAACTGCTTGAGAAAGGGAAGGAGTGGTAAAGAGCAGGTCACTGCAGTAGAGCTTTTGGATAGTCTGCTGATGAGAGATAAAGGGGTAAATTCTTTTGAAGTCCGTCACCCCGTCAGAGGGGTGGTCCCAGCATTCGACTTCAGAATCGCAGTGTTGTAATGGGTATGTGGCCTATACAATAACTTGCGGTGAGCGGCGGTGTTGAAGTCAGTGCTTTTATCCTCTCAGACGAATTTGGTATCAATTATTCGACTTCAGAGAGCATGCTTGCCCTAAAAAGGAACCGAACCTGGGCTCGAACCCGTGATCATGCTTGTGCGGTAATGCACCGCTTGCCACTACACCACCTCTGCCCTAATTTAATGACTCTGGAAAATGTCGAATGCTACCGGAAACTTCCAGACTGCTTTTCATCTCCCTTAAGAAGGCTCAGACCTTTTAATCAAACGGATCTAACGGTACTGGCCTATGTTTCCATTTCTCAAAGCTGGGCACTTGAAACTTGGGAGCCTACAAACATTAGTCTCCAGCCCCTCCCAATGACCTTAAAATCATACGCTATGATCATAATCCCTGTGAAGGTTCTGCAAATTTATGATGGAAATCGTGCAATCGGGACATGTCCTGGGGGACTGATCAATCCGAGTTCTTTCTTTCTGCTCGGCTCAAGGAAAAAACTATTGAAAGACACGCAGAACTTTAAACTCAGATCTATGATGTGGTTATATCCACTGCACTTCCAACGCCATTGATTGTTTATGCATTCAAGATTGAAGTAAGCCACTGCCTCGATAATTACTCGCTTCATTTTCATACTTAACTTTATTTTTAATTATTTGAACTATGGGGATATCCTTTCATAACCGTCTGTATCGCTAGCTTGATTCTATTTTGACCTTTTTCTTGACTTTATTGAATCTTTCATATTTCATCGCACGCTAAGTCCTCGAAGCATTTTAGGCACTCTAAGCATGCATAGTTAGACTAATTAATGTATTTCAAATCATCTCGGTGTCATGTTGCACGGCACTTGGGCGATGTCCACCATTGTCATCATCTGACGACGTGTAGATGCGTGGCGGAGCTTCTGATATTTGCGACAGCTCTGTGTTAGTTGTCCCGCCGCCCACTATGACCGAATTGAGCCCTCCCTGGTCGAAATTGGTCAAGCCACGTGAGAGGCGGAGTGAGAGTAGTGTGCCTTTCAAAACTCTGAATCGTCATCGGGAAAGTTGCGAGATCTCTCCCTGGCCTATGTTACACAAACAGAATCCTGTTCTTTTTAGTACTGCAGTAGTAAATACTTTAACACGGAATCAAACAGAAGCCGTGGTAACTACCGATAGAGTTGTACATTTTTTGAGAAGGGTACAAACCCCCTAGCGCCAAGGGAAATTCAACGGGTATTCATGCTGGAAAGAGAGCCATGTGTGACGTATGTACTGCAAAAGTCTTGTCAGTATTTAGTATAGTGAACCGTTCCAATGCTCGAGTAAGAAGAGTCCCAAAGGAGCCAATAACTAAGCGTTGTTGGTGTCTGCTCACTGACCTAGCAGATCCTCTACATCTTTGCAAGAAGAAGACAGGTCGCAGATACTAGGGCTATCACAATGACTCGTATAATGTTCGAAGTAACTGAATAACAGCGTTTTGCTGATTTTACCTAAATCCTATTTTTTTCTAGTTTGGGACTATGGACCCTGCACAATTCTGGTTTTCGCACATATCCAACATATCGCACCCACTGCCTTTGAAGCCAAGCTTTTTAAAGGAAATGGAGAGCTATTTTCTCAAAAGAGTGGATCAGTCGTTCTTCTTGGAGTATGCAGACGCAAGTTCGAGAACTCTTGTACAACAATCGCCACTCATCAGTTGAGGCCTTTTCAGAACGAGCTTGAAGTTAATGAAACGAAGGTCCCTCATTGANAGGAGCCAATAACTAACCGTTGTTGGTGTCTGCTCACCGATCTAGCAGATCCTCTGCATCTTTGCAAGAAGAGGTCAGGTTGCAGACACAGGGGCTATCACACTGACTCGTATAATTTTCGAAGTAATTGCAAGTACAGCGTTTCGCTGATTTTACACAACTTCCATTTTTTTCTGGTTTGGGACTATGGACCTGCACAACTCTGGTTTATGCACATATCCAACATATCGCACCCACTGCCTTTGAAGCCAAGCTTTTTAAAGGAAATGGAGAGCTATTTTCTCAAAAGAGTGGATCAGTCGTTCTTCTTGGAGTATGCAGACGCAAGTTCGAGAACTCTTGTACAACAATCGCCACTCATCAGTTGAGGCCTTTTCAGAACGAGCTTGAAGTTAATGAAACGAAGGTCCCTCATTGAGGACTAAACCCCCTCTTGGATTCACATCCTCCAACACGATCCCCTCCACTTGAACACACCTCCCCCGTACACGGTCAGTGTACGCATGGGTTGGCCCATGTATCTGCCACAACTTCACAGCTGCTTTATACTCTTACTAGTCGCAAAATATTGCCATATAGCGCATGCTATTTGCAATATGAAGTCAGTACTACTACGAAGCAATAGTAATTGCTATAGCAATAGTAATTACGGAACAAGTTCGTCTTTTGACAATTCTCATGAATCTGAACCTCCTTCGCTCTTCGCTCATTGAAAATACAAGGCACTACTTTGTAGTATGGACACTAAAAACGCACATGCTCGAATAGTTATAGTGTTCTGGTGTCATTTTGGTGTCCGCCCTTCCGATAGGAGTTCAGACTCGCGTGCTGAATTTTGTTGCCTGATAACCAGTCCTTCAGTGGTGCTTACTGTTGTCTGTGCTGTCTTGTTCTTGCTCTCATTCTACTCCACCCTAAAAAAGGCTCTGCTTATTTCGGTATTCCCTTTTCCTAGATCAACCGTCATGAAAATAACCCATGTACGACCTGTCTCAACCGCGTGCTCAATGCAGCGAAAAAAATATGAATATATCCCTTGCTGTGTTGGTTACGTGACATACCATTCAATCCTCAGAAGGCCCTTAGCAGCGCCTCATTAATTTTCAGCACTATAGCAACTCACAGAGCAACCACCATCAATCCACCCGAAAACCCTGCTTAGAATTCAAGCATTGGAACGTACCCAAATTTCTTCTCAGCGGCTGTGTGATCTTTCTCACTTCGAGTAGAACGAATTGCAAAGTTTTTGGTGGTCGTTTTTGGAAAACGCCCACGAATTCGGCGAAGTTGGTACCAACTAAACGATTTGTAGAAAACTTGGTTGCCATGAAGCGGTAATCACCATGAATTTGATTCCAATCCCAACCTTTCTTCCTCAACTCTTGCCCTCCACCTAATGAGAGTGTAATTTATAAAAAGGAAGATATCAAATTCAGTCCACTTGTATTACTCGTAGTCACGAACTATTCTCGTTTGATCTTCTTCCAAAGCCTGGATAGTAAAGTATTATAAACTGAGGTGAAAACTTAGGCCTCTCTTATGGGGCCATTTTGCCACTGGATTCTAAGTTCCACCTTCCTACCAATTAGAGATTCTCTTTGAAAAAACACATTCCGCCCCACTCGGTGTACAAGCAAACCCGTGACTTTCTACCTACATATATGCGACAGCTAATCAAATATTTTGTCTAGGAGAATATCTCGAGTTCACTGGTCTATGCTTCTCTTAGGGTGATAGTTATGCCCATAAGATATGCTGATGTTACGTGAACAGAACTCGTACCCATTTGGGTGACCCCTCTGGTGCAACCTGGCCTGATGTGAGAAGAAGGGTGCAATGTCGTGGAATTATCCTCCCATAAAGGCATTCTAGCAGCTCGACGTGAAAGTGCACTCCTTTTAATATTTAAATAAACACTTTCCGCCTATACTAACTGATTGCGCTTTGACATGGAAGCTTAAGTGGCCTCTATTCATTGAAAGTGCCAGTTCACCCTCTAACAAGCACCTTCGATTGTCGTGTACTACCTTATAGAACGAGAGGTATTCAAGAAATTTTCTATTTCCTACTTCCTTTTCTGTCAGAATTCCTTCATGACAATTGATTGCTCATCATCCTGGCAGTGTTTTCATCTTTGAACTTAATTCTCAAGCGTCTTTATGATTACGTGGGAAAGGGCAGCACGAACAGGATGAGAGACATTGCGGATTTCTTCTTTAAGCAGAATTTTACAAGGAACCTTTAGAAATTTCGGGTTTCATGAGATAAATATCATAGGAACGCAATGGGTGGTCGCTAGTTTGGCATTGCTTGGCTTTTCAGGCGGAGCTTCAGATTGAACTCGGGCTATCGTCGGTTCCGTCATATTCTGCCCTTTTCAAAGTATTCAACCAGTTATTCAGATAAAAATGGATGCAATGAAAACTGTAGTCGAGCAACTACGACGTGAAGCTCAAATGCAACGAAAGAATGTCTCGGAAGTGGCTAGAGAGTAAGTCGCTTCGGAAGTATCTTATTGGATAATTAAATTTTCAAGTAATATTTGCTGAAGTGTGCCATGAAATTCCCTTAATTGGCCACCAACAAGGATAACGACATTATTTCAAACAAAAAGGTAAAGGAATTACACATTGAATCTTTTAAGGACTGTCCAGTGTGGATTAGGTGATAGCGAAAAAAACTGGTCAACCTTTCTACCCCCTATTGCCTTGGTCTGGCTATAACACAACTTATCGTATTTGAATCCCAGATACTGGACTGTCACGCTCATCACCTCGAGACGAGGAGTTTTGTCCAGGAGTAACCTGCAGGTTTCCGAGGCCGACATTTGCTTCTCGACCTATCCTACGCATCACCTTCTTTCTCCCTTTTCCCTCGTACATTTAATTGCTAAAGAAACTGTTTGGGAGAGGGCGTTCGGGGTTGGCATTGTCTGACTTTGTAATTTGAAAATAAGTTAGTTTCCGATGCATTACTTATTCTCATAGGATCCTGGAAACGAAGTCAGGGCCGTAGATCAGTTCTTAGTTTTATTGACAACCAATGGTAATGAAGTTACCAGGCAACCACACAGAAACGAAAATTCAGTCCGGCACTCGGCTCTTACAGTAATTCCCTAGCTTACCCCTTGTCCTTGCCCAAAGCCCCTTTTCTACGCGTCGTATATGTAACGGGTAAAAATGTGCGTGTTAACAATGTAAGAGCCGAGTGCCGGACTGAATTTTCGTTTCTGTGGCAACCACCTTCAGAAAGTAATTTTTCTTTTTTTAACGAATAGTCCTGTCAGAGCGATGGGCCCACGCATTCGACTCCCATTCAAAATCCTAGTGTCGCTTTGCATGCATATAAGACCTATACAATGTCGTGAGGAAACGGGCAGTAGGAACGGTTTCGTGTAATCGATCCACCGCACGCCGCTGTCGCGGATCATTTGCCTCATTGTAGCAGTTCTGAGGTTCTTCGTACACCTCAATCGCTATGCGATTATTACTTTTGGCATGATTCTACTGCTAGTTCTTTTATTACTAAATTTCCTACTTGCTGCTGCACTCTACTACATTCCTTCGCTCGCGACGTCTCTCTCGCCGCGACGCGACAATTTCGTTCCTACTGCACCACACCCGCCGCGCAATTTCGTTCCTACTGCACCAGACCCCAATGTCATGTAGTGGCTGTAAGTTAGTGCTCCTATCTGACCATGCGAGTCCGGTTCCAATTACCCGAACCTGAAGGGATGAAAGGCTTGATGGGTTTTGGGCGAGTATCGATTCAATCTGTCGCAATTCAATCTGTGCGTTTGACGGCACCCACTTGAAGCTGCCCCAACTCCACCACAACCTCTAAAATACGTATTTGTCAAATCCTGAATACTTTTCAATTGGTTTTTTTCTGGTTACAGTAAAAGCTTCGTTTAGCCTACTGGACTACTGCGAGAAGCACAAAGCCACAGACACGCTGGTAAGCGGTACGACTGATGCACAGAATCCATTCCGTGAGAAGAAAGGCTGCACACTGATCTGACTGCCCACTAACTGAATCACCTGAGATCTTTCAAATGACATCGAATCAAATCTGCTGATATACTTTCGATTTACTTTGTAAACAGTTTTTAGGTTTTCTACAAAGCTGCGAACCTTACATTTGATGAATACTGTAGGATCCCATTGTTTCTTTGTTTCACTGAAAATGTTGAATAAACTTGTGTTCGTTGTTTTCTGATACAGCTGAAGCTTAACTCACGCTGAGCACAAGCTGGGCAGTACTATATTACCGTGGGGTAGAGACGAGTAGAGTTTTGGATATGAGAAGCACTGAAGCAGTTGGTTCATTGGCCTATCTCAAGAGTGTTGCTCAAGAGGGAGGACCTTTCACGTTAGGTGAGCGATTATGTTTTGAACTAATACTATCAATTTTAACGGCTGCTTGAGGAGGAAGGTGGAGGAAGCCCATTCCGTTAGTAGTTGGTAGAGATGCGGAGGCGTGGCTGAGTTGTCCATCTACCAGCAGCCAATCTAGCAGCACGCGTACTACTGCGAGCTGACTCTCTAGTGCATGCTCATACTACAAGACGCGTTCATAGTGCCACGCGGCGAACGTCCGTTGCGCGTGTCCGTCGAAAGTAGGTCACCCCGCCCACTTCGCGCGCGGCGCACTCCACTGAGGTCTCGAGCTGACATTACAGTACCACCAAGTGTGAGTGGAGCGAACTATTTGCATTTGTCAATGTTATATTCTCTTTGGCTGACTACCGTGGAGAAAGCGCAAATCGTATGCTCCGTTTACAGCTGCGACGTGTGTCAAGTACCGCCGCATGCGACGGCTGCGGCGTGACCTAGTTTCGACGGACACGCGCAACGGAGCGCACCCGTGCCACGCAGACGCCAATACTTGCGCGAAATATCGCGAAATAGTACGTGAATCACACCGGACGGCTACGGGTCCGAAATCTTCTCCCGAAAACGGCGTCGCGCACGCCGCACCTGCCGCGTGTCGCAGGATTGCGATGGAAGATTGGAACGCGCAATTTGTGGCATGGGGATTCCTTCAATTAGTTGAATTTGCTGGCCGCTGTCTTCAATTCCAATGCGATCTGGATTGTCGCTAATATAGGAGTAGTCATACTAATTAATCAAGTCTAATAAACATAAAAACGAAGAAGAAACGAAAAAAGATCAAATCTAATAAAAAAGAAAGGCAATCAACAAAAAATATTGCGTCCTATTGACTGGCGGGGAGGCGGGGTGAGTACGGTAGTTGCAGTGAGATTTACCGCATGTCGCAAGGAGAATGCCGCAATCGGGGATAAGTTCTGTTACCCAGACGGCTACACATTATTACGGACACTAACTTATTATTCAATTCTTTTTCTTTTTCGAGTGAACCCTTTACTCCGCTAGGAAGAATCACCCAAGCCTTCCCTTTTCACCTCCGAGAAAATGGTAAAGTCTCCCCCACCTCCCTCTTCCAGTCGCAAAATGGAAACTTTACGCCCAAGGCGTACGAGATATTGACGGCGCGATGACGTTGACACCCGACACTATAAATGCAGCTTTACGCATCCCTCTGGTGCAGGTTTCCAGCCTCTGTGGGTCTGTCTCAACCGCCACGGTGCCCCTCGTTCAGCGTGGCCCTTTTCGAAGTCTAAGTAATCTAAGTTGTGGGGAAGGGGGGAGATGTTCCGTAAAAATATATACATTTACATTAGAGAAGTCCAAAAATTCTGCATCTACTTCTTCTGCCTACGGTAGGTGCAGGTGACACACCTATACACCACTGGAGATTCAAACTTCTCCACCCCTAATAAATGCATTTCACCGTCCTAAGATCTGGTTAAGTAGGACCCTTTACATGCTCCTTAGGGAAGATTACTCCAAATCCAGGTGAACACGTAGTAGGAACGGGCAACGTGTCTTCATCCAGTTATGCTCTGCTCCGAGATCAGTATCTCACCCACCCTGCCGTTCCTACCCCATCCCCTCAGCTGGGCATAAAAACTCCATTCACCTTCTCGGAAACACTTCTACGTTCTACGTCCTCGAGGGGCTCTCGCCCCATTTTCGGTTGCACTCTAGCGCATCCCCTTTACTAGGGACCGTTTCTAATCACTGGCCTTAGAGATTCGGGCACAATGAAGTGGCCCCTCCATCTACTTCTTCACACTATTTCGTTCTCATCAGAATGTTATTGTACTTCAGATCATCCTCTTTTCAATGCAGAAGGAAGCATGATTATCACCTCCGTGTGCTACCATTTTGCCCTTGAGATAGCGCGCTCCATGGCTACTGCAGTATGCGCACGCGCGCAACGCATTGAACGGACATTAATGCTGTTCAATATTCTGGCGTTCAAATAAATCGGTGCGCTGCTTAAAAACTTTCTAATCTTATTTATTTTGGTTGACCATGTTATATTATGCGTTGCATTGACAGTGTTATAAAAATCATTGCAATTCGCATTGCAAATTTGTGAATTTCAATTGATTTTCAAAGGCACAAGCACTGAGTGCTCTGACTACTTCGAAGTTTGCCGACCTAGGAAACTTTTGGAATTTTTTGCTATTGTTGAAGTGCTTCAGATAACCAGCTGTCCTCCGTTTTGTTATCTACTCATATCATATTAGGGTTGACAGCAGCTGGCAAGAGCATTAATTAGCTCATCTTTTTTATGTTTACGAGAAGAGTGAGCAGCTTAGAGGCAAGTTCTTGTGAGAAAACTGCGATTTTTTCAAAGCTGTTGAGTGTTTGCTTAATTTTTCTGCTTTTATAAAAAGAAGTTGTTAGGTGTTAGCAGTTGGGCTTTGTAGGATCCCAAAAGCCGTCTCTTTTCACTATTTTCCTTCTCAATTTCTTTAGGTGGTGTTCCTCACCCTGACCAAGCCTTAACTCGGTCATTTTACTCCATTTCAATTGAATGTAGCATAATGATTTACTGTAATTCCTGTTCCTCATGTTTCTCAGAAGTCTTCTTAAAAGAGGTACTATTCCACTATTACAACCCCAAAACCTCAAAATTTTAATTTTCGATGAAAATTCGCCTATAGGGGTAATCCGATGCCCTGATAACGAATATGACCNGGTCATATTCGTTATCAGGGCATCGGATTACTCCTAAAGGCGAAGTTTCATCGAAAATTAAAATTTTGAGTTTTTGGGGTTGTAATAGTGGAATAGTACCTTAAAAAATTTTAATCGGTCTGTTCATTCTTTTGTGACTTGGTGTAACATTAAATTTCCGTCTTTTTATTGCTGCAGAGTGTTAGTCGCCTTTGGCGGTTGTTATTAATATGTGGAAGGATTTGCATGTTTTAGACATGGCAGGTTCTGACGAAAAAACGTCCCTATTCGATGAACTTGCCTCTGAAAAATCGAACGTTATATTTTACAACCACCGCAAAGCTACATTTAAAAAGTGGTGCTTCGATAGGGGCGACTCTCCTTGCTCATCTGAAGCGGTAAGCCCTTTTTCTAAAGCTTATTTCGACTTCTTGGTGAACTGCACTTCCTTTGAAGTTTTGGATTTAGTTAGCAAGAGCCGGATTCGTCTTCTCTGGTACTAAAAGTGAACCAGCTACAGCAACATGTGTATTTTGTTTTAAGGAGATGATATTTGAAGAGCAGGATGACCCATGGTAAGTTATTGTCAAAATTTTTAACTCTTTAGTAGTTGACATCATTTGTTTACAGTAATAGGAACAATTCGTTTTTCCTTTTTAGGGAGGAACATCGTTCGCATACAAAGAATTGCAGTTTTGTTGAATTGAATAAAATCGATGAAAAAACGTGGACAGTTCGAGATTTCCTTTTCTTGTTGGCTGGCCGCATAGCTGCGGAGCAGGTGAAATAACAAAAGTTTTATCTGATATATTATGTATATTGTTCCTACGTATATTATGTTTCTACGTATACCGAGTTCTTTTTGAATTTGACCATTTCAGAGGCAAATGGTCGCCAAGGAAGCTGCAAATTTCTGGAACGCTGCGGAAGAAATAGAACACATGGGCGAAAAAGTTTTAAAAGCTAAATAGTGCCCTATAATATAATGTGATACTTATCTCACTTGATTTTGGATCTCATTAACGGTTTGGTACTGTGCTCATATTATTCTTGATAAACTGTTGCCAGATTGATTTTGAATCGGCTACTAACTTGTTGTGAATTCAAGTTTCGCTATTTTCGTCATTTTTCATGCAAAGTCCTTTTTCCTTGTTTCTGTTATTTGAATTTGTCATTGCTTTGCAGGATTAATTTGCTCTGCGTTTACAATCATCACATTTTTTTCGAGCAATAATGTCCTTGAAATTGACAGAGTGAGTATCTTTCATCTACTTGTACCCATTGTGAGTTGTATGAGAATTTACATCTGTTCCTGAAGCATCAAATGCTAAGAACCGTATACTGCGATTCATTTAAGAGACACAGTCACTTTCAAAGTTTTGTTGCATCACTTCGATGAGAAATAATTTCAGGTTGCTCCCTACCCCTTCCGCAGTTACTGATGAGTATTCTCAAGTGAGTTTTCGAATTAAGTTGGCATGGAACTATTGAATCGAGTTTTGTCATTTTCTCGAGCCTTTCAGGATTTCTCGCTTATAGCCTAACATTCTGTATTTACTTTCTCCAGAATCAGCAGAAGTTTAAAAAATTGCTACTTCGTTGTGCTCTGACCAGTATACCACTGTCTTAAGCTCGAAAAATTTCATCTAATGTAGATCAGACATTCGCACTTTTGATAGGTATCCTCTGGTAATTAGCATCAGTTTTCTCAACGAAGACTTAAATCTGATTGTAAGTTAACTTGGAGAGTTTCGTATGTAGCATCAAATATCACATAGGATTGAGTGTATAATAGAGCGTTAGAGTTAGTAGCAGGTTAGCTTAAACGAAAAAAATTCAAAAAGTTAGGATCAGATAAGTTGATTCTCCTTTCTCTCGGTGATGATTTACTTGATTTACTCTAATAACATAGCTGCTCTGTAGGTTCGACGAGATCCATGGTTCCGTGGACGCGAGGATGCACTGCCCATTCCTACAGCCATTGTTGTGAAAGAACCGCCTCCATATGGACGTCGTCAAGGGTTCAGACCACGTGGCGTTGAGGTAATCGTTTCGATGCCTTGTTGTCTTCATCAGGATAAATCGTTGCCTTTTCAATGGGAATTAACTTAACATATTGTGTTCTTGATAACTGTGCAAGTAATTCCCGGTATACCACTTGCAAGTGACCTTTTTGGTACGCTTCCGTAATGGCGACATTATCCTAGTATCAAGGGAGGTTGATTCTTCTGCTTTGGAATCCAAATACTCAATTGGTTTCCCACCTATTGCTCTGTTTCTTTCCGATCAAGCGTTGCAGTTTTCGTACGCTTATCAAATTATTTAAACAAGTGGTTCTTTTCTATGCTGAGGGGACAGGACCGGAAAGCAAAAAAAAAACGAATTTTATCATAAACTAAAATCTGTAGCTCTGAACTTTGAGCTCGCTTAATGCAGTGTAGACATTACTTTTCAGGACTTTGGCGATGGCGGAGCCTTTCCAGAAATTCATGTGGCTCAATTTCCTCTTGGAATGGGATTAGGTGAACGAAAAGGGAAAAGTGAAGGGCAAATAGCACTGCAGTATGATGCTGATGGGAAATTAAGGCACGATGCTATTGCACGACTCGGACATGATAAAAATAAGGTAATTTTTGAAAGTGGTATCTGTTCCTTTGCCTCAACATTCCAGCTTTTCGTTTCATACTTGCTTCTAGTGGTAATTTAGGTGGTTTACACCAAATTGGCAGACATGCGTGCTAAGGCATGGGATGAAGAAGATGAAGATATTCAAAGGCCTGATGAGGAAACCATTGCCGAACAAACCGAGAGGACGCGGTTGGCGCTGGAGAAAATAACTGAAAGCAAGGTAGGCTGAAGCGTTCGGTAACACATCTAGGGAGAGTTATTACGAGGATGCGTCAGTTTGGGTTTGCCATTCTTTGAAAGATTTCACCTCAATTTCATAGGTGGCGTCAGCTTTACCAGTACGCCATGCTGAGAAGCAAGCACCTGCACAGTATATTAGGTACACACCTAGTCAGCAAAGTCAGGGACATGCGGCAGGTATCATATTTTATTTTGAGTGCTGTTCTCCTATTTTGTGTTCCACTATTAGTGTGAGATATCACCATTATAAGAGGTCTGTGCTGTTAAGGTTCGCAGCAACGAATCATTCGGATGGTAGAAGAGCAAAAGGATCCCATGGAACCTCCAAAATTCAGGTGAGTCATTCCTTCCGAAATTTCAGGAAATTACCAAGGCGCTGCGTTTTGGAGTTTTTTGGTCTTCAGAATTGCTAGCGATATTTTATTCACGACACTGCAGATATAAGTGACTTCATCATTTCTATATATTACCTATATATGAAATTTAGGATCAATCAGAAAATCCCGCGTGCTCCTCCTTCGCCTCCAGCTCCAGTTATGCATAGTCCGCCTAGAAAGGTAGATGATGTCACTTCAAATATTTGTCTGGAGTTTCTTTACTCCGNAATTTTTTCTCGTTCGTTTTCGTTTCTCGTTTGCTTCAGTTCACATTCACAATTTCCTTTATTTTTAGGTGACAACAAAAGATCAAAATGACTGGAAAATACCTCCATGTATTTCCAATTGGAAGAATCCAAAAGGTAATAGTTGTCAAAGCTAAACTAATTGCCATAGATAATTTAAACGCTATTTGTTTTTAAAAACAGAGAATAGTAGATTTTGTTTCTTGATTCCGTCGATTCTGATTTGATGGTTTCCGTTTCACAATACTAGCTTCATTTAGGTTTTACCGTATCTCTTGATAAACGATTAGCTGCTGATGGTAGAGGATTACAACAGGTAGATCAATTATTGCTGAAGTTTCCTTCCATAAGGCTACCAATTGCAGACCCACATCAATGAAGGCTTCGCAAAACTATCAGAAGCATTGTACATTGCTGACAGGAAAGCTAGGGAATCCGTGGAAGCAAGGGCGCAATTGGAAAAGAGAGTCGCACAGCACAAGAAACTCGAACAAGAAGCACGTATGCGCGAAATGGCTGCGAAAGCTCGACAGGTGAATAGATTTTACATTTCGAGCGGACCGGTAGGCTCATGTCATTTTGAATAGTAGTATTAGTAATCTCCTATTCGATGCGTTGATTAATTGATTTTTTTATTTGATTCACAAAGTTGATTTTTTATGACATAGATTCTCTTTGACTACTTTTGAGAAAAGTCTGTACTCATTCCCGCTAATTCGGATATGCAATTCAACAGAATTCTTCTAGGAACGTGCTGGGATCAGGAAAAGAGACGAAGATGAAGATGAAGCTGTCAAAGCTCGAGAGGAAGTTAGGTTAGTCGATTTGTGCCTCGGTTATTACAAATTATCATTAATCCGTTCCACTTGTAACGGAAAAGCGAAGTTCTTTTGTAATTGGTCTTATGCTGATGTACCCCAATCCATTATCCCAATAGTATTTTTTCGAATCGAATTTTAATCGAGATTCCATGATTGGAAATAATTGCAAGATTAAGAAACATTGCGAATAGCAAACTTTGTCCTCTCTATTCAGATTTGAAGAGCTGTGCAGTTTATATTCTTATTATAGGCGTGATCGTTTGGATGATATTCGTAAGGAGAGGAATATTGCACGTAATAGACCTGATAAAGTGGACAAACTGATGCGGTTAGTCATTTTCTCAGTGTTTCTCTTTTTCAATGACGGAAGTTTCACGTGACTGTTTTCAGAGACCGCGATCGTGACATTTCCGAGAAGATTGTACTCGGTTTACCGGATGCTAAAGTGCGATCAAGTGAAACGCAGTTCGATCAGAGACTCTTTGATCAGAATAAGGTCCTACCACTCTAGGCTACGGAGATTTGGTTTGATCATCTAATTGTTTTTTAGGGTCTCGATAGCGGAGCCATGGACGATGAGACTTACAATCCGTACGATAAAGCCTGGCGTGGCGGTGATAATGTCCAACAACACATTTATAGGCCAAGTAAGATTGTGGCACATCTTCTTTTGCCTGCCTTCCTAGGCTTTATTCAATTATTGCGGAGTTAAAGGTATTATTTTGATCCTCACGCGAGTTCACATGAGGTTGGGTTCCTGTTACTCAATTTGGAGCGGTGAAGGGTAAAAACTTATATTGGATCCTTTAGCGGCTATTGCTATAACAAAAGATTCCGGTTACGGTTGTCCCCGCGCTTTGGTCACTGTTGCACTTTGCGTAAGCAGTTTATGGTTTGTGCTACTGAGTATCACCCTGTGTAACTTAGTTGGATGAAGTATTGTTTCCTTTTTCATATAAGCCATCATATTCACGCTCACACTATGGGTAATAAATGTATATGGTAAAATCAAAAATGAAAGGGATATAGAACCGGTACTCACAGCATCCAATAAGAGTGATTGAATGGGATTCTGAGATTTAGAGTGAACTCTTCGGTTTAAGGTGGTTGTCATCGTTGGCACCCATCCCAAACCTCTGCTGCATACTTTTGGAGCGTATTCGGCAAGCGAAACGCTATCAGTTCGACAGTAATGTGATTGGGTATGATGTCATCGCAACGCGATCGTAGTCAGCTCACAATTGCGGCTGTTTGTTGATCTCTTATCAGCAGTCTATGCATGCTCATACGAATAGGACATGAATTCCTATCGTTGCGAATTATCAGTAGCATGGAGTGTGGCGCCATTTATTATGGCTAGGCAATTGTCATCACAAGTTTCTATTTTTGATGGAATGCCATACAAAATGTCATAATGTCGTGGAATTGGGTGGGACTTGAGCATTTCGTACTATCATAATATTTATTCTACTGTTATTGAACTCTATCACCAGAAAACATTCTGGCACAAGAACATCACCGAACTGATCCTAACGCTATTCTTTGTACTAAAACTAACCTTAATACTCTGAATTACCTTCACCACTAACACTACTATCACAGTCATAGTTATGATAGGTAGTATGGGGTGATAGCGGTGAGAATCTGAAATGTTCAGATAAAATATGTGTTATTTTTATTTAACGTGAGGCATTCCCCTTAGACTTGAACACAATGAAAAAATACGGGTAGTGGGTAGTTGCCCGTGCAGCAATTTTTTATTTCTATTGACGCTTTCTTAAGGAACTGTAAAAACTGTTATGATAAAACCAGCGATAGGATTGTAAAAAGCCGACTGAAACATTGTTCATGGTTCCATTAAAGGGCAACGGCTTAGTGGGTGCATTATTTTGACCATATGCTCCGTGCAAAACGAAAGAATATCTTCAATGGAGAGGTGTTTGAAAAGAGCTGCCTTGAAATAAGTTCGAACTGACGTTCTGGTCAAGTGGTCAAGGGCTCGCAATACACATTTGAAGTCAGTTACAAATCCGGAAACCCTGGAAAGTATACCTTTGGTAACTGGGAAATTATGGCTATCTTTGTCTGGTCCAGAGAGTCCTGAAGGTTCTGTAAGCAAAAAGGAGCGCTTTATTTAGCACTCACTGTAATCTTTTCTGCGATGTTGTGACATGAGGATATCTATGAGCAGTCTTATTCCAAACCTGGGGTGCGGTCAGAGTGGTGCAGTGTTACCAACGGTAATCGTTCTAAAAGACAACTTCAAGGAGCACCACCTTCACTATGTGACGTTTAAATACGAACGAATGTTTTTTGATTCCAGGTAAAAACATCGATAAAGACGTATATGGTGACGACCTGGATAAGATCATCAATACCCAACGATTTGTTCCTGACAAAGGTTTCTCTGGAGCGGAGGGCAGCTCCCGTGGATCTGGACCAGTACAGGTCAGTACGACACTATCAGTTTTTTGTTTGCGGATACTTAACGACACCGTCGAAAGCCTGTAGTCAAAAAACATCTATGAAAGTTGTGATTTGTCTCAACTTCTGGGTATCCATTATCCAAAATCTCCAAGCTAAATAGCTTGTAGACACTTACCCCTGGGAAAATCACTGGTGATGACATCTCGCCTGCGCTGATCGCGATACAAGGCTTTGACCTATTTGTGATTATGATTACGTGATTTAACTCGAGACCTCAGAACAAACTCGATTTCCGAGTTATGCTTTAAGGTTTCATCCAGGTCTGTCATTGTATTGTATTTTTTGTTCATTTGAAAACTGCTTATGAACCTGAACCAGCTTCAGAGATCAGCTGATCCTCGTCCCTTAGCTATTACCGATCCTTCAATTTCCTTTCGGATCTCGAGCCATCTTAACCACTAGATAACCGCTAGAGTTGAATGAGAATCACATTACGTAAGTTGTAGAGTGGGCCCCTCGAACTCAAAGTCCCTCCCCTTCTCTTCCTTTTAGTATCTTGGTTCGAAAGGGCAAGCACATGTTGTGAAGAGAAAGGGAAGCACACTATCTACGCATCTGGACATGTACTTTACCTTATAGATGGCAAAGTCTTTGTGCCGCAGTGCTAGCGAAAGTTTCTTTTCGACCCCTCTTGGGGACAATACGGCGTTATCAGCTGATATCACGGAACTATTGCGAAATCAAGTGATTTCTTTTACCCAGAATTTACGAGCTCAATGTGATCATCAGCTGTATCTAATGGTGTATTGAAAACGATCGTATCAGCTGCTCTGAATAACTTTTTAGTGGCCATTGAGACAGCGATAACCGTGAAGTGTGGTTCAGTGATTTGCGCGTTCTTTTCATGTGTTTGGATTGCTCGTGAACTAACGTCACTTTTTGAGTTCTATTACCGGACCTTACATCATCTTCTTTCCTTCTGCACTGCTTTGTTATTGATAACGAGTGCAAAGAAAG